GAGTTGACACTAGCACAATTGAGGAGAGTACTACGATCCCATTTTAAAGAAGGCGATGCCCTTGATTCCTACCAGAAGCTGTCGTCAGCATACCAGAGAACCGGTGAATCGGCACCTGAGTTCGTAGTAAGAGCGATGAATCTTCGGCAAAAAGTTAAATTTTCATCAAACGAAGAGGGTGCACCAATTTCCTATGATGAACACCTACTGCAGAACACTTTTCTACAGACGCTAGAGACTGGATTGAGTAGAGCCTTGATAAGTGAGATGCGTGAGTATCTGCAAGACCAAAGTATCTCCGATGAAGAACTGTTAGAAAGGCTGACTCAAGTTGAGAATTTAGAGGAGAAGCGGAAGACACAGAGTCAGGTACCAGTAAAGACAGCATGTGCTACGGCTGATACTAAGCAGACCACAAATGATGAGTTTCGTCTCCTTAGGGAAGAACTCAAAGCACTTAAGGTTAACGTATTAGCATTGCAAAGCAATTCAAATCCCAGACCAGAGAAAAGAACAACTCAAAATAAAAGACGACGAGGTTGCAGAGACTGTCAACAGAAGAATCAAGGTGACAACTGTACCCATTGCTTTAAGTGTGGCGGTACCAACCACATTGCCAGATCCTGCACCGCAAGAACGCAGGGAAACGGAACTTGATCATCCCAGAGGGACATATCGCATGATCCCAAATAGCATGACGTCCCTTAAGCAACCACAAAGATGCAAGAATCTATCAGAGTCTCACAAACCATATATTAGCCACCTGACACCGAGCCAACATAAGCAAATAGTCACACTTATCGGAAACAAATGTATAGTCAGATGCTACCTGAATAATCAACAGGCAAACGTCTTGTGGGACACAGGTTCCCAAGTGTCGATTGTTTCCGATAAATGGTGGAAAAGCAGATTTCCAGGCGAACCGCTACATGACTTGAAAGAGCTTCTATATGATGATCTCAAGGTAACAGCGGCTAATGGGACAAATATCCCATACCTGGGTTGGCTTGCATTAACTTTTAAACTTTTTTCTTCAAAACATTCAACATTTTCTACTTCAGTTCCTGTTCTGGTACCTACTGATGACCTTGCACATCAAATTATAGGATATAATGTCATTGAAGAAATTGTGAAGACTGACCAACAACCAGAACTTGTAAGTGCCCTCAAGACGTCCTTCACAAACTGTCACATCAAAACCGAAAAATTAATTGCAACTATTCGAAAAGCAGATCCTGATGATTTTTGCAATGTGAGATCCGGAAGAACTCCAATCACAATTCCACCGAAACAGACGAAATACATCAAAGTGAAAGTAACAACGGGTCTGATCAAAGAAAAAATTATTGTACTCTTTGAACCTCTTCTAAAGTCACATGTACCTGATGGGTTTGAAATTGGCGAGAACTTATTGGAACTTGAATGTCGTCCTTCCAACTATATTAGAATTCCTGTTACTAACAGAACTGATCATGATCTCATTATTCCAAAGAAAATGGCACTAGGAAAACTACAACTGTTAAGAGCAGTTCATCGAGGCACAATAAGACCCCCAGAGTCCGTGCAGACAGCCAGTGTAGATGTCAACGTAGAAGTAAATACAGAGAACACTAAATTTTATTTGAATCATTTAGATGAAAGACAACTTAAGAAAGCTGAAGCGCTTCTCAAAGAACAATCTGGAAGTTTTTCTCAAAATGACAATGACATGGGATTCATACCTAGCCTGCAAATGAAGATTAACTTGACTGACAACATTCCAGTCCAGAAAACATACCAGTCTATACCAAGACCACTATTTCAAGAGGTCAAAAACTACCTGGCAGATTTAATTGAGAGAGGGTGGATTGTGAAGTCTGAGTCACCTTATGCTTCTCCAGTAGTGTGTGTACGCAAGAAAGATGGAGGACTTAGATTGTGCATCGACTATCGTGATCTGAACCGAAAAACCGTCCCTGACTGCCAACCTATACCTCGTATTCAAGATGTTCTTGACAGTTGGGTGGGAATCGATGGTTCAGCACATTAGACCAAGGGAAAGCATACCACCAGGGGTACATGGCTCCCGAAAGTCGTCCACTAACAGCTTTTGTCACTCCCTGGGGTTTGCATGAGTGGGTACGTATTCCCTTTGGATTAAAGAACGCTCCTGCAGCTTACCAACGATGCATGGAAGAAGCGTTAGAAGGACTCAACCATCAAATATGTGAAGTTTACCTGGATGACATTATCGTCTATGGCGAGACATTTGAAGAACACTTGACCAACTTACAGAAAGTGTTACAACGCATCCAAGATCGGAGAATGAAACTGAAACCTTCAAAGTGCAAACTATTTCAATCCGAAGTAAAATACCTAGGCCGGATTATTAGTCAAGAAGGCTACCGACCAGACCCGAAGGACACTGAGACGTTAAACACATTAAAGTCTAAAATCCCTAAGACGGTGGGAGAAGTGAGAAAACTTCTTGGATTTACCGGATATTATCGTCGGTATCTAAGGGATTACTCAAAACGAGCAAAGCCGTTATTTGTTCTTTTGACCCAAGTCGGAAGTTTTAAGAAACGAAAGAAGACAAAACATAATAACAAAAGAGACAAGGGACAAGTACCATCATCCACTCCGATAACGTGGTTACCAGAGCACCAACGAATTATTGATTCCTTCATTGATGAACTAACTCAAGCACCTGTGATGGCATTTCCAGATTTTGAGAAACCATTTGAGTTACATACAGATGCCTCACAAGATGGACTTGGTGCAGTGTTGTATCAACGTCAAGATGGAATGCTCAGAGTTATTGGATATGGATCTCGTTCTTTGTCACCAGCAGAAAAGAACTATCATCTTCACTCCGGCAAACTTGAATTCTTAGCTTTGAAATGGGCCATAACCAGTCACTTTTGAGACTACTTAGCATTTGCAAAGTCATTCACCGTCTACACCAACAACGATCCTCTCACCTACATATTAACCACTGCCAAGTTGAATGCGGTAGGTCATCGATGGGTTGCAGAACTTGCCGACTTTAACTTCACTATTAAATACAGACCTGGGCGCAATAACGATGATGCGGATGTACTTTCCAGACTGACGATGTCACCTAGTGAATTTGATCAATGTACCGAAGAAATTTCCCCATTAGTAATGGACGCTGTGGTTCAAGGTGTTTCAGTACAACAATCCTCAGACTTTGCATACATCAATCAAATATCTGCGGACGATGAGATTATACAAGATCAACTTCCCGGTGTCATATCAAACTTACCAGCCCTATCGACTGCAGAAATACGAACTGCTCAACAAGAAGACCCTACCATTGCAAGATTTCTGCAATATAAAAAAAAGGGGAGATGGCCAACTAGGGCTGAGCGTACCAATGAGCTTTCTGAAACTAGAACGCTGATGCGCGAGTGGAGTAAAATTGATATAGACAAAGATGGTATTCTGCATCGAAAAACAAAAACCAGAACGCAACTGTTAATTCTAAAGAGTCTTCGACCAATGATACTAAAATCACTGCATAATGATATGGGACATCTTGGTACTGAGAGAGTGCTTACATTAACTCGAGACAGATTCTACTGGCCTCACATGGAAACTAACATCAACCATTACATAACACAAGAATGCAGTTGCGTGAAAGACAAGGAGCCATCGAAAATCACTCGTGCTCCTCTGGTAAACATCAAGACGTCAGAGTCATTTGAACTTGTATCCATCGACTTCCTTCACCTTGACAAGTGTAAAGGAGGGTACGAGTACATCATGGTAGTGATGGATCACTTTACGAGGTTTGCCCAAGCGTACCCAACCACCAACAAATCGGGCAAGACAGTTGCTGACAAGATTTTCAATGATTTTGTTCTGAAGTTTGGTTATCCACGTAGACTACATCACGATCAAGGTCGCGAGTTTGAAAACTCTCTTTTTCGACGGCTGGAGCAACTGAGTGGAGTCGATGGATCTCGAACAACGCCTTACCATCCACAAGGTAACTGACAAGTTGAGAGATTTAACCGAACCTTGTTGTCGATGCTCCGTACCTTAACCACTGAACAGAAACATGATTGGAAACAACAT